TGTATAAAGTGTTATGTTTTTTTAAGAGTGTGCACATGTATGATAATTTTAAAAGTAGTGGATTTTATGCATTTCTCTTGAAAACATTTGGCTAATACTTAAAAGTATAGGAATAAAGAGCAACCAAAAGGTTGTTTTAACTTGAGTTCTTTTAAATAGTCAACATTCTGTACATATTCTATTTTCACAGCAACTTTGATGCTTTAGGTGATATATGCTCCTTTTCAATACTGAGTATTTAGCTTCAAGGTTATATAAAAACTTCATAACTCTGCTGCAGTCATCTACTATATCAAGTTCATAGCTTTGAAGAAATAAGATTCAGGATAGATCACATGTCTCTCTCTTGGCATTGGCTGTAATTATTGATGCCAATAAATTAACAGTAACCTCTTTTTATATTACCATCTGAGACATCCACACTTACAGATACATACCTGTTGCTGAGTTTTTATTGTAAATCTTTTATTCTGTAGATGGAGCCTTCTTAGTGGGAGGGAGAAGGGCTTTCTTAAGCTAGAAAGGCTGCCCTCAAAGTATTGGCTAATACAGTTGTTGTGGTTTAACCCCAGCCAGCAACTAAGCACCATGCAGCTGCTCACTCACTCCCCCCCATCCCACTGGATGGGGGAGAAAATCGGGAAAGGAAGCAAAACCCGTGGGTTGAGATAAGAACAGTTTAATAGAACAGAAAAGAAGAAACTAATAATGATAATGATAACACTAATAAAATGACAACAGTAATAATAAAAGGATTGGAATGTACAAATGATGCGCAGGGCAATTGCTCACCATCCGCTGACCCACACCCAGCTAGTCCCCGAGCGCCGATTCCCCACCCCCACTTCCCAGTTCCTATACTGGATGGGATGTCCCATGGTATGGAATACACCGTTGGCCAGTTTGGGTCAGCTGCCCTGGCTGTGTCCTGTGCCAACTTCTTGTGCCCCTCCAGCTTTCTCGCTGGCTGGGTATGAGAAGCTGAAAAATCCTTGACTTTAGTCTAAACACTACTTAGCAACAACTGAAAACATCAGTGTTGTCAACATTCTTCGCATACTGAACTCAAAACATAGCACTGTACCAGCTACTAGGAAGACAGTTAACTCTATCCCAGCTGAAACCAGGACAACAGTACATTGCAGCAGCAGACCCTTTCCAAATCTTCACAGGTCTCTTTTTGATGAAAAAAAGCTTTGAGAACGGTCTGCTCCTAGCTTTGGTAATCTGAGGCTTCTGGACCTAATGACTTGTTCATATTAAAAAAGTTTCCAATGCCAAGAGAACATGATAATTAACATCATAAAAAAAATGCAGCTCTGTAAGCAATAGACTGGTAGGCTACAACTAGGTGCTCACTTACCTTCTTAGTGGAACTGAAATGAATGCAGGGGCAGTGTTGCAAACATGGCCCCAGTATTAGCTACCAAATATCCTGCTACTGACCATGTTTGTTTTGCTTTTCATTTTGCCTCACCTCCTTAACTTCTACTTGGAATATGCAGAAAGTTAGAATCAAACCTTGTATTTCATGGCTCAAGTTACTAATTTTTTCATGTGTATTTGCAGTTATAAAGATTCCTGCACTAATTATGTTATCTACCCCCTTTATATGTTGTGCAGTTGTCTTTTAAAACCAGGAAAATTCCATATGTGATCCTTCGATGTATTATAGTACACATGATAAAAAAAAAAAAAATCTTAATTTTTTTCAGTGTCCACCAAATCTTCATAAACAAGATGGGTATGCCTGTGATTCTAATCAGGTATGCAATGTTTTAAAATCCCTGCACATCAGCAAATAGAAATCAACCAATTACAAGTTTTCTTTCTTTAATCCTGTCTTCCATATTTCTTCATAAATTTTGTCTTTTGGACATCTCTGTTGCTTGTGCTTTATGCACTCTATGAATAGTAAAAATTTCTACTTTGAATAAAATCTACTTGGTATCTTTACATTTTACATGTAGATCTTTTATTATACTCCATGTTAATAAGTTCTTTACAACTATGTAAATGAGAAGTATAAAGCAGCTGCTGAAATGTCGGTATGTATTAAGCATCAACTGACTTTGAGAATCTGGGCCAAAATGTGTACTCCATCTACCCAAATTCATGAAAACTATTATATATCCCAATATGTGTGTGAAGAATCAAAATGAGACATTTGTTGGAGGAGGGGAAGGAAATGAAATAGTGTTCAGTTCTCATTGCTAACATGTTGTGTTTTGTTTAGGGTCGTTGCTATAATGGTGAATGCAAGACAAGAGATAATCAGTGCAAATACATCTGGGGATCTAGTAGGTTGGCTTTAACTACCTGAAATGTCTTCGTTTCGTATTTTTAGTATTTTCATTTTTTCTTCTTGCCACTGTAAGTTAAAGTTTTCTGCTCAGTAGAGTAGACTGCAGTGAGAAACTGTGGCTTGATTGCCAAGTGAAATTCTGAGTGTGGAAGTGTTGACAGTGAGATTGTTCTGACGTGATGTGGTAGGTAGGACAGCAAATGCTGGACTCTGGTGGAATTAGATGAGAAAACATAGAAAATATTGGCAACTTAGAGTTAGTGTTAGCGGGGGGGGGGAAAATGGGTTTGAGGATTTTTTGGGTATAGTTCAAAACAAACGTTCTGGGTTTTTTTTAATGACAGTTGTTAATTCCATTATCCCAGCAGTGGTTCACGCTAAAGCTGCTCCACCTTGCTTCTCTTTGCTATACCATCCTACAAGTCAGGAAAATTAGTACATTGGTGTGAATTTAAATATACATAGTATGAATTTAAGCCCAGAGGTGTTAAGTAAAATAGAATTGCAGTTGCAATGGAGTTTGTTTGCACCTGAGAGGGGATAAACACTCTGTGTAATAATTTTGAGACAGTTCAGCAGAGCAGAACTATCAAGTTGTCCTGTACTCTAGCACTTAATGTTTTCTTGTGCATTTTGTCTAATTATAACTGCCACTGCTGACACTGCCTATTTGAGGCGGAAGAATCAGTCTATTCTAGGCAAGATGGGAGGGATATAGTTTTTTGTTTGTTGTTTGTCTTGTACAGTACAAAAGATGCTATGTAAGTGTAAAATTGGATGACGACATTTTCTTTGTCTTCTGATGCCTTTTTGAGCTTTATGTTGCCACTTCATATTTATTGATAATATTAAAGGTAATAGATGTTTTTGTTAACTAATTTCTTTGTATCTTACATACTTATATTTGAAAATATTTGGTTTGTCTTCTGTACAAGTGATTTTACTGAAACTACTGTCTTATTTACTTCTAATATTTTATCTTCCTCTGTATAGTTGTTGTGCTTTTTTAAATTGATTTTTAGAAAAAACAAATGGGCTTGTTAGTAAATAATTGGGGTGCTGTTAGTTCAGATTTCTACTCCTACAAAGCAGTAGACATTACACTCTGACTGTTCAACCCTGTTCTCAGTGAAGTCCTGAAAAATAAAATAAAATAAACATGGAGTTGATGTCAGAACATATGCTTATGGTAAATGCCATGTATAAAATCTTTGATCTCCTGAAATACAGATCAGGAGTAACTGTAGGGCAAATAACTAGATTAAATCTGTGTGCAGCTGTTATGAAGTGAACAAAATTGGACCACAGATAAATTCAAATGCAGAAGACAATGCCGACACTGTGGAGACTGCTTTTTAAAAGTTCAGAGCAAATTTTGAACGTTGAGATTATTTTAGAAAAGCCATCTGTAGGTATTGCACTTCAGTCTGCTAGGTCCCCACTGTAGTCACTGGAAAATACCATCTGCGTACATACACATGTGTTTAGGTTTCTGTTTTGTATTAAAAAAATACAGAGAACTGCTGCAATAAATTATACAGGTTTTCAAAGCTCTTATGTTGCTAGTGGAAAGTATATTCCTTTTTCCTTTCTTCATCACAGAGTCTTCAGGATCTGACAAATTTTGTTATGAAAAGCTTAACACAGAAGGCACAAAAAAAGGAAACTGTGGAAAGGATGGAGACCGATGGATTCAGTGTAGCAAACAGTAAGTTCAGCTTGGTATAGATTATTTGTATTTTAAATACATTAATACTAATTTAATATTGTCTACTTTTTCATGAATGTTTGAGCAGTTTGTTTTGCATTATTTTGAATCTTCTTTCCCTCACAAGGTTTGCATCTTGAAAAAGTTCCACAGCTCACTCTGACAATTCCACGGGTGACTCAGCAATACACTTGTAAAGAATTCCAGATTTTCAGAAGAATGTACTGTGACTTTAATTCTTTCAGAGGGACTAGGGGGTGGGGGAGCAAAAAGTCACAAGTTCCTAATAGACAAACACCTCAGACTTGGTAGGGATAAACTAGGCTGCAAATGTTTTTGCTTGCTATGGAATTAATACCAGATAATGTTATTTCAAGTTTATTCCAACCTTTATTTTGACCAGAGGACCATTAGATATTTGGACACTATAGAGAAAATGGCTGATTCATTTGCATGTGATCATTACTAGATGAATATTTGATTAAATTTAGTTTTCAGGTTAATAATCATTAGTGGATAGACTTAAATTTCTCCTAATTTACCTACTGTTTTGTAATTTTTAATTAACCATGTAAAAATTTCAGTCTCGGAATGGTGTTTTCCTTCAACTATCTGATGTTTGTCATCAAGTGGCTTTTTTTTTTTAATTACATGATTCACTTTTCAGATAGGTTCATAAGCAAAGAAGTTGTTTAATGAATTTTTTTGTATTTAGATGAGAACAGTGTTGTTCTGATATGTATATTAAACTCATCTGTATAAAAGCTTTTATGGGTCAGTAGAGATATGCAGAAGAATGGTCTAGCTTAAGGGCCATTTAAATTTATTGCAGTTTTAACAAATACAATTTCCAGCATTCATCCAATTGCTTCTATGACTTAAGACAATTAGAGTAAGAGATGGAAGTTTTAAGGTGATATCCTTCTACTGAAGATTGCTCATATAAAGTAACATCAAATAAAGCAGACTACCAAAATTCAGGCACACACACTGCATGCTAATGATTGTTATTATAGTTCTGTTGTCCTGCAAGGGAAATAAAATAAAATTAAAAATTCAAACTTCATATTAACATACAGCATCCAAGCTGCTAGAGAGAGGGAAATATAATTTAGCCTGATATGACAAAGCTTTGTACAATTTGGCACCTCATAATTGTACTGTATTATATTTAGAGCACAGATAAATTTTTTTGTTGATGTGAATGTTCACTGGTGCATTAGAATGAACGATTACTTGTTTCTGCCTCTTGTCATTTATATCAAATAATATTTTATTTCCAGACTTGTACTCTGAAAGTCTATCATGTGGCTTATGGTAATATGTTACTTAATGTGATCAGCAGCATCATTGCTGGTCTTTCTTTTTTGTACGTTTACTTCATATTATTCCAGTAACTTTTTGATTTATGTTTTCATTTTACAGTGATGTTTTCTGTGGCTTTTTGCTCTGTACTAATCTTACTAAAGTTCCACGAGTTGGTCAGGTTCAAGGAGAAATTATCCCAAATTCTTTTTATCATCAAGGACGAATAGTGGACTGCAGGTAAGAGATAATGCAGTGTTCCAACATGATTTTGCTTTGTCAAACCTAACTGAATTAAGATAAACATAAATGTAAAATCGTATGATTTTTAGGTAATTAATATCTTGCAGCAAAATCCTTATTCTGAGTGGTATTTCTTTTGATTAAAAAAAATTAAAAGGCTAATAATATTCCGCATTTTAAAGAGGGCAAAATGTGGGTTATGCTCCTTGATTACTCTATCTGGTCTCTTCAGTAGCAGAACTTCACAGTCAGAATTTAATGCTCAGCATTATATTTGTCTGGGGGCGGGGGACACATCTGTAATTGTCGAAGATCCATATATTAAACATAATGTTTTTGCATATTATATCCTCAGAGAAATAGCTGTAGGGAAGTGAAGGCTGAGAGGGAGGAAACTGAAGAATTGTGGCAGGATAAGATGTTGTTACGGTTTAGTTAAAGGGCAGGTAAATGGGTTTTAGTCTACTGTGCACAATACTGGATTTGTATTCTAAAGGCATTGGCAGCATTGCTGTCATGCTTAAGAATACTCTCTTGCATAGTTAGGTAAGTGAACAATGATTCTTAACTCTTCTATTATTCCATTAGTATTTTTATTTAAATGTCATCACACAGGAAGTTAGTTTTTTAACATTTTTCTAGCAATAGTATTTCACAATATTTGGGGGGAAAAAAAAAGGAAAGAAAAAAAAGAAAAAAGCTTGGCCCATCAAAGACTGTTAAAAAAAACCCCAAAGCCTAAGGGAGTTACTTTTTGAGTATTTAAGTCATTATCTAGACTTATTTTTAATCTGACAACCGGAACACCTTGTCAGTGCTGTGGACAGACAGAAAAACTTTATAATTTTGTTCAATCTGTCTGTATGCTTGAATGAGAGAAAGGTATGAGGCTTTTAGTATCTACACTAACATGTTTAATATTTTCAAAAGACTCCAGTCACAATACTAATAGTATCTTAAAACTTTTCTCCTAGTGGTGCTCATGTTCTTTTAGATGACGATACCGATTTAGGTTATGTGGAGGATGGAGCTCCATGTGGACCTCACATGATGTGTCTGGACAAAAAGTGCCTGCCAATTCAGTCCTTGAACATAAGCAGCTGTCCCATTGGTTCTAATGGAAAAGTCTGTTCTGGTCATGGGGTAAGTCTGTACTGGGAGTTAGCTAAGCTTCTCCAGCTCTCTCTGCTATATCTGGTCTTGGACCCTGTGGAGTTACCTACCTGAAAGTGTTCCCAAGACGTGTTGATCTGAAAACACAAATGTTAGATTCAGAGGAAGGCTGCCCTTCCATGAAGCATAGCTAAAACTTCAGAAAGCAAAGTTGTCAAATTAGTTCTGCAATTGTATCCAAAGTGGTGTTTTTGTTACTAGCAAGAAAGAACTTTGACATCAGTTATTGTAAAGACTTCTGTAATGTACTACCCATATTTCAAGCTACTTGCCATCTTCAGTTAAGCTTTTTCCTGCATACTAACACCTTTATAAAGTTGGCCATGTGTTCATGGATTTATACCTCATGACTTAGATAATTAAAATTCTAAACTGTTGGACCTCAACAGAGAAGATACATTCTTCTTGAACAGCTGCAAACTGTATCATTTTACATTCAGGAACACTATATTCTGTTATTCTACCCATAAGTTCATTTGTCTAAGACAGTAGGTATATTTTGATGAACAGATTCACTGTTCCGTGTCTTAACTGATACTGATACAACATTGATAAAACCTTTCCACTGTGGGATTCAGTGGACAGATACTTGCCTAAGGGGCTAGACTTTATACAAAGTTTTTGTTTTTCTTCTTGTTATGTGTAATTGAAGACGAATTTGAGTGCTTCAAAGAGGATTAGGTTCAAAATCAAGAAGAAAAATTTTAATATTGGAAAGTAAAGGATCTAGGAGTTCTAGAAATTGTCTTGGTACTTTTGGAGAGTGGCATGAGTGGTGAGGGAACTATGTTACCTTTTTTGTTTTGCTTTGGATGATTCCGATTCATAATTTTAAAAGAATACTTCAGTTGGTCAAACCTGCCATAAGATGTATTTATCTTCAGCTTCCTAGATAAGATTCTTCAGTGAATACTTTAAGAAGCAGAGTGAGGTAAAAGTTAAATGAAAAAAATCACATGTACTACTTGTAATCATTGGTGCGTAGGTTCTTTTGGGGGTTTTTTTTGACATTATGTTCCAGTGTCCAAAAGACATTATTAGCTGATGCCTAATGACTGACTTCACTTCTAGTCCAATAATCAAAACTTCATTCTTTGTTTTGCATCTGTTTCTCATGTCATACTCTTTCCTTAGTAACCTCTTCTAGCAAGACATTCCATGTTCTTTTTCACATGGAAAGTTTATAGCTATTAACTCTCACTATTGATTTGATACTTTAGATTTTGTCAGTTGGATAGGTTTTCCTGTATCTGATAAATGTACTGCGAATTTTTGTGAGTCCTAAGTCCTTTTTTAGAGGTCATTCAGTTAATGTAGACTTAGGAAGAATTATTTCCTCTCTTTCTAAAAGATAAGCAAGCACTCCTTGTTGCTGCTTAGAAAAAAATGACAACAAAACCGATGAGAATCTTGCTATGTTTTATACATAGGAGCAAGCTGTTAATGAGAGGTTGTAAAACATGACCATATCTTGAATGTTTTGAACGCAAATGCTTGTATTCCTTCTGGACATCCAGGCTCAAAGTCTAGATAGTTGGTTAGTGAAGATCTAACTAGTCTAGATGGGTTTTGGAGGTTTTTTTGGATGAGAATTTCTGTTATTTTTTACATCCTATGCAGGTGTGTAGTGCAAATGATGATGGAACCACTGGGAACACTTCTGCTTTTCCTAGCCTCTGAGTGTATTTAGAGGGTAAAAGCAAACTTTCAGGTTATTGATATATTATACTCATTCTAAACACTCAGTGCTATTGTTACAATATATAGATGGATGTCTTATACTGTGAATTAAATACCTAATTACAAGTTAAATAAACTTAATAAAATGTAGTTAAAAACCAACTGCTATCATTTATTGTCTTTTCCAGGTTTGTAGTAATGAAGCGACTTGTATTTGTAATTTCTCCTGGGCTGGGACAGACTGCAGTATTGATGATCCTATCAGGGATACTGGTGGCAAGAAGGATGAAGGACCCAAGGGTTTGTGTGATTTCAGTTTTGATGTTCTTTCAAGTATTTATGACATTTTTCTGTTCTTACATGGTAGTAGAATTAGCACATAGAAAAAGAATATTATTCTGCAGTACTGCTTAGACCCAGACAGTAAAATTCTGCTTCATGTAGATGAAGTAGGTCTTTCTGCTTTGAGAATTGATGAAACTTTTATGTTTCTAACCTAAATTTGGGGAAGCTTTCAATAGATAATGGTATGTACTTTCTGGTTTTTTTCCTTCATCCCTTATTTATTTTCTGTGATCATTTTCTTTGTGATTGGAAACTAAGTGTAGCTCTTATTATTTATATCATAATTGAGTATTTATGTTTTACTAGAGATTTCCAGTTCCCTTAGCTGTTCTCAGCTAATTCAGAGAATTCAGTGGCATAAAAAAGGGAAAAGTGGAATGTCCCTGGTGAAAAAAGCTTTGATTCTTTGAAATCAGATTTAAATGGGAGAAAAAAGTAAATCAAGATTTTAAGGAATTACATTATTCTTATGACTATTATTGCTTACTCATGTATTTAGTAGGTATTTCAACTGCATTGAAGTATAAAATACAAAGAGGAGCTATTGAGGAAATAATTCATCAAAAAAGTTTTCCAAAGAGGAAGAAAAGCACTTGAGATTCTCTCTGACTTCTCTGCCAAAGAATGTCTTTGGATTGTGCTGTCCAATTTTTTTGTCTTTCCTGTCGTCAGGACATTGTCTAACATCAGGCTATATTTATCCAGTGTTATGCATTTACAGATAAAGTTCCCAATAAACAACTGAGAAACCCAAACAAAATCTTCCTGCTATGTCCCAGTTCCAGATTCTTCTGTCCCTTATATAAGGCTGATGGAAAGAAGATAGACTTGTTTAAAAATGTAGTCCTTACAGCTCAGACTCTTATTGATTACTCATTTAAAAGATCCAAGGTTTCAAGGGAGGACAGGGTTTTGGTATGTCCCTCCAGAATGGCTCTACTTCTGTCTTGTGTGCCTTACTCTTTTGCCCCTTAGCAGAATGGTTCCAGTAGACCTTTACCAAGAACTGTTGAAGAGATCGTCTTGAAACAAGTTACCACTGTGAAGGAGGGTCTCTAGAACAGTCTAGATTTGTATTAGGGAATCTGTGCAGGTGCTTCCTGGACTCCTAACACCACCACCATTGAGTGTAGAGCTGGCTGGTTTGTACCCTGTCTTACAAAGCTACTTGTCGTTCCCATTTCCCATAAAAACCTTCATAACTGTGGAACGCTGCTTACAGAGTCTTAAAAAAAAAAAAAAGTGGAGAACAGCACTATAGAGCTGGTTACTTCCCTTTCTGTGGGGATGAGGAGAGCAGTATTTACAGTTGTGACACTCAGAGTACATGAATTTTGTATTACTCATTTCCAAATCCTGTTGCTAAGAAATAATTCTTTCCTGTATGAAAAGGTCTATAGGAAAAGCAACACAGAAGATACACTTATCTTGGTTAGATTTTTGGAATTCAAATTAACTCATCAATTTCAGAATGGAAATACCTTTATGAAAACTAATACATCAATGCTGAAATGTTCTGGGAAAAAGTCTTAAATGAATAGTATCTGCATGAATTTCTGCCAGTAGGTACAGACATAAAGTTTAGACTGCATTTTTCAATGGAGTCCTCTGCAAAAAGGCAGAATAAGTTTTTGTACAGGGTGGCTCAATGATTTCAAAAGACAGATTATTTTTACTGATGTTGTTGTTGTAATTTATTGGTGTTTGAAGCACCTAGCGATGAGTTTAGGAGCCTGAACACTGACAGCTACTATAATCTCTTTTGATGTACTAACAGAGGAGTTCCTTTGTAAGAAGATGTCAGAAGAATACAGGAGTAGTTTTCTGTATTGTAAAGATCCAACATACTGAAGTAGTTTCCATTTTTTTTCTTCCCCTTATTACCAGTACTTTTTATGTCATATGCCAGTTTACAAGTCTGAGACAGAAACCAAATACTTGTTTTTCCTTAGCCCTAAATTTGAGTTTTGTTACGTTTCAGAAACAGAACACTCATGATGTGAAAATTCACCAGATTTTAAGATTTTTCACACCATAAATCCAAGCATTTTTCTCACTACAATTAGAGCATGTATAGCTAGGAGGTATTGCTGTTTATTTATATGTTGTTACAATAATTGACAACTTGACTGCTACTCCTGCTGGACTTTTCAGACCTTTCCATCATCCATCAGTTGCTTTTGGCTCCATACTGTATTTCAAGATTTAAAAAATTAGTGGTCCTTAATTATGTCAGTATTAATACATGAGTCTTAAATTACTCTAAACTCAGCAACCTACTGTATCCTGTACTAGTAGACCTACACAGCATGCAAGCAGTTTTCAGAAGACAAAGAGTTCTTCCTGTTAGTTTTCGGCTACTCCAGAAACTTTGAATTACTTTAGAGTGTTGGCTAGTAGTTTTGAAATAAGTAGGACTCCATGTGGACACAAGATTCTTCCTTTACAATTTCATTTGCAGAATTAGGTCTTTGTTTGACTAGTGGAATAGTGTTTGTTTGGTTTTTTTAATATAAAACTTATGTCTCAAGTGTGTGTGTGTGTGTGTGTGTATTTATGAAACAGGAAAAAAAATGAAACAGTTTCAAAACAGACTTCATTCAGCAAGAAGACTACAAAGTTTTTGTCCCTTGGAAAAGTTCCCATTAGACAGGGAATTCAGCTGCTTGTTTGTGGTCTATTATGACTCAATGAATCTATCAAGCTTTTAATCTTTAACATAAGAAATGTATAGATGTTTTTTTCTGAAAAGAATTCCCTTAAAAAATAAAAAATAAGGCCTCAATGTCTTAAGAGACAGTATCTGATCATACTGAAATTTCCAGGGTGTTACCTGAAGCACATTTCTAGGGTAGGTTTTTCCTTTTAAAAGGTGTTATCTGTCTTTAGGTCATATAGATAGAAAGTCCTATTCATAAATGCAGTAACAAAGGAAAATTTTACTAACTAGTAAAGGAATGAATTAAGAAGTTGTTTTTTTCTTTTTTTTCTTTTTCTGCAATAGAACTGTTTCCAAACAAACTGTTTTCATTTGCTTAGTGTTATTATGGATACAGTAAGTTTCTGGTGATCAAAAGGAAGCTTTGTTATTGGTGATTTGTTTACATTTTGGCTGTTTTAAATAAGCAGTAGGTTGAGGATGTTCCCTTTTTAAGTAAATAATAGTCACAAGCTAAAAGGGATAGTCTCATGTTTACAGGAAAACTTCTTGTTGAAATATTTGCAAGCATTCAAAGAAAACCAAATATAGCTAATTTCAGAATTTTTAAAACTACACTATTTGGTAAATAAAGGTCTGTTAGGAGGTTTGACCTGTTTATCTGACAATGGATTATAGCATAAAATATTCCTTTGAGGAATTATTTCATGTTTTCATTTCAGACATATATGTGATCATTTCCTTAAAAAATCTTCCCTTTTCCCTCCACACAGTGAGCATGGCCACTAACAGGCTAATAGGTGCAGTGGCAGGGACCATTCTGGCCTTGGGGGTGATTTTTGGAGGCACAGGGTGGGGAATAGAGTAAGCATTTTTCTTAGTTTGAGTTTTATGTTTGGTGCCTAGTGTGTGAGGTAACCGTATGCACCCGAGCCCTCTGTGTATTACCCCCTGTTAGCTTTGTCATGTGGTGACCGTATTTGTCATGTGATTTGACTGTGTCTGTGTCATGTGGTTTGCTCATGCAGTGTTGAACCTTCTCCTGTCTGGGATAATGTGGGGCATAAAACAATAAGTTTGTGAATTTTTACATTGTCACAGTAAAATTAAATGTCTAAATGTTTCCATTACACCAAATTATAAAAATTCTGGGGAAAAAATGGAAGTTCGTGATAATTCTGCAAAATAGACTAAGTAATGTGGACTATTTAATAAAGCAGAAATTGTTTATTACAATCTATGGGGCTTTCAGTCTAATAATCAGTCACGTGATCTAGCTAGGAAGATGAAAGCTGATGATAATAGTATAGACAGCTAGTTTTACAGTAAAGCTTCTGAATGTTTTGTTGCTAGGTTTCTGTTACCTTAAGGCCATAGAATGCTTAAGGATAAAAATTATATATACACAATATGTATGAGCAATTTTTATTATCTTTTCATAGTTTTAGGAAACTGTATCTTAAGTGTTAGCCCACTACGTCAATTTTAACAGTGGCTATGATTTATATATATATGTGTGTGTGTGTATGTACATATACACATACAAAAATGCCCATATAAGAACACTTTTCATTCTGTGTTTGCTGTGCAAACTACAGAATAAATTGCAGTTACTCTGCTCTTCTGAGGTTTCCAACTTCACTGTGTTTCTAATACTGTGTATTACCTCTGTTGTGTGACAGTGCCATCTCTCTGAACGGGGAATCATAACAAGACAGTTTGTGATGTCTAATCAAGCTGTGTGAAAAAGCATTCCTGTACAGTTATAATTAAGGCTGCATAGGTAGTCTTCTGGTAGGCAGCATTTTGCATGTCTGTGTTTGCAGCCCTAGATATAACCTTTTTAGCTGTTGCTGAACGGGGCTGTTACATGAAACTCATCTTAGATTCTCAGAAGAGTAGAGACTTCTACACTCACAGAGGACAACTAATAGAAAAACGAATAGGAAGAAGGTAATAGATCATCTGCTTGAGAAAGAGCACATCTGTGTTTTACTGGTGGCTTTTACAGCTGTTTGCTAGAAACTGAAGACTGTGAAGATTGTAAAGGTTTAGGACCCAGATTCTGGAGCAGGATATTTATTTGCCTACAGGTTGAGGACCATTTGCCTTTTCCTTATATTCTGCCTTGTACCCTTCTGTTTTTATCTTCCCTTACTTGCTGTCTCAATCCACTCAGCTCTGACCAACGTCCCTGACAATTTGTTCTTGCTCCTGTATCTTTCTGCTCTAATTCCAGCTTTTCTTCATCTTTCCTCTCTTCTTCTCACTCACTACCTGACTCATTCTTCTTTTTGTTTCTATCCATTCTTCTTTCCTGGATCCCATCAGTCTTTTCTCTGTCCTCTGCTTCCTTCAGATGCAAATGTACATACAAGGCAAGCTGCTGCTATTTTTTGTTGCTTGGTTTAAAGAAAGCACATGGGAACACAAAACCGTCTCTGTTCCTAATGCCCTTCAGGCCCTGGTAGCTGTTAACTGTCAATGGCTGCAGGGGAGGTGGTGCTATCACAACCTGATGGCAGGTCCTGCCCTTCTTCCTCCTTCCTCACCACTTCACTTGCAAATTGCAAACTTTTCCTCAAAGTGCTGAAATAACTTCAGTTTCTTAATCCTTTATGAACTTAGTAATCATGGGGGACAAAATGGGAGAGTAGTTTTTTTTCCAGATTTCATCCTAAAATGGATACTTAGCTTTGATAACTTAAACCAGAGGATTTGGCTGGCAAAGTGACAGGCAAGAGAAGAAAACATCAAACCACCCCAGTGTTGTTACCAGCAGGACAATGTGCAGGAAACTTGCCTCTTCTACAACTAGCAGAGTTTCAAAGCAATGTGTATTAATTCTTGTAGAATCTGTCTGATAATGATGAAGATTTAGGGAATAATCTGAATTCCACTGAAATTACAGGTGTGCTCTGTTTTAACACCTTCAGTAGGATTTGTATCAGGGTCCTAAAAGATGTCTAGAGATGATACGATAGCCATGCCAAAGCAGACAGCGCCTTTCAGGAAAGGGTAGTGTGCCAGGCAGTTATGGTGTGGTTAGTTGCAGGAGCTTCCTCCTGATAAATCTCTGTCTGCAGGTTATAGCAGTAGCATGGCAGAAAGAACAGCCATACCAGAAGTGTTGCATCTTGTTATAGTCTGGATGGAAAATGACCCCACAGTATGGTGGTTGTTAAAACCTTCCTCTCACTTTCAGTTTGTATGTCAAGTATCAGAGTCCAGTGGCTAGAGAGGCTTATTTAGCTAAAACATATTGATTTATACTTTTCTTCATAAATGTCACTAACTAAAATGACCCGATGCAAAGTAGGCTTCATACTGGTAGGAAAATTCTGGTTTATTAGTAATACAGTTTCCTTGATAATGCTTAATAAAACATAAGGTATACATCCTTAAGGTAAGGTATAACATGTAAAAGTAGTCTCGCTGTAAGTACTTTTATGTGCACAATCTGTTATGGTCTTAAAACAACTTACCAATAATCCCCTTAAGTATCTGTATTTTGAAACTGGAATTCATTAATTGGAGAACTCCATTCTGCTAAATGAGTGGTTGCTGTTTAATAATCATAAGTATTCCACCAGCTTTGTTTTTATATTGAAGTCGGAAATGAGATTATAGTTGTCTTATCAGTGAAATTTTACCTTGAATGTAGCCTTTTCAGCGTCTTGTCTTTACTAGGAAAAATAGCTGTTTCTCATAGGAACTGCCACTCCTAGCATACTGTGAAACGGTTTTAAAATTATTCCAGACGAATGGACATGCCTTTATCTACAGCCATGTATGATTTACTCTGCTCTTAGGCTCTCTCAAGTAGATAGCCTAACTCTCACAGGCATTTGATTTTCAGGGCTTTTTTTGTGTTAAAAATGAACATCACTTCTTTAGTCACTGACACTTTATAAAATTGGCTCAGATCTGAAAAGTGGTTTTATCAGGACCCATTTATTATTTAACATAATTTCATTAACTTTTCTATTAACTGAACATAATTGCTTTGTATATTACCCTCTTCTGCTTAAATTTTCATTGTATTATTCCATATTTATAGTAAATAAAACCAATATTGATTTTCTGTATTGAAAGAACAAACTGCTGTTTGTTGAATGGATGTGCACTATGAAATAGATTCTTCCCCCTCAACATTTAACAACCAGGGAACATAGTAAGAAGAGGGAAGTAAAAAAGTGGTGATTTGGTACTTTCATATCTAAGTTATGACGTTGTTACTATCAGTTAATCATTGTACCTCTTTTGTGGGAAGATAACATTCTATGACTACAAAAAAATCAGCTTCAGAATTTTTCAAGGCTTCTAAAATTTATTTCAGATTAATTATGTGCTGTGTTTTCAGTCTTCTGTTGTGTGCAGTCATTTGGTAAAATCTAGAGTAAGCCATAGATCCGAGTCAGGTGCAGTAGCTCATTAGGCTGCTGTTGAAAGCAAGCCTTAATTGGGAATATAATGCCTGTGGAATGGCACTGATTTACCCTCCACCATGCTCACTCCTGCTGATTTGAGCCAGGTGTGACTTTAAAGGTAAGTCCAAATAAGATACATTCTTCCAAATTGTGGAAAATTACCATTTAATTATTGTTGTCAAATTTGTACACTGCTCATATCTGTAAAGCTCACTATATTTCTTTTCATTCCAAATCTTTTATTCATATTCCTCAATAATTTTTGTGTAGGAATTGCAGGAAGCAATTTTTAAAACTTCATTTTCTTTTAGCTAATCTGATATCCAGAAGCACTGATACGGGAAACACGTAATGGATGCAGTGAAGTTAGGTCACTGCAATACATTTTAAAGCTTAGGGCACGTACTTATTGTGTCTGGGACTGGGCAGAAGGTTTTGTGATACTGCCCTAACAGCTTAAAACTTTCAGTTGTTGCAGCTGCCCTTGCTCTTTCCTTTGCTGATCTCTGGCTGCTCCCTTTTCTTCCTTGTGTTAGCTGTCTGACAGTTTTCCAAACTAATTTTCAGAACATTTAAAACAGGAAAATTTCAATTGTTGTGTAGAAGTGTTGGTTTGGGGAGACTGGGATAGGAGGTAAGAACTGTTTTTTGAAGGCTATTCCTGAATATGTGAATGTTTAAACAAAAACCGTCCAATATGCTGCAAAAGAACTGTTGGGTTGGTTTCATTTTGCCTTGAGCTCAGATGCAATTAACTTTACATCAAAGACTGCTTAATAGGAAATTTTTGTACAGAGCGATTAAAATGTTACTCAAGCCTATTGTCAGTTTTCCTCCACCCTGTGTAAATAGAGCACTTAAAGGTCAATTATGAATATCTTATTCAGGTGTTCTCTTGCCCTCTTTAGAAAATTGCACAAAAATATTTTGTGCTGCTTCTTTTTGTTGGTCTTTTTTCCTGCTCCACCCTTCCCTACTTTGTTGTTAAGTAGCTTCTTGAGGATGATGAAGAGATGCTTTGATGTTTGGAAAGCTTAATGGGAATACAGCTTTTATTTCAACTTTTGTTCCTTATTATATAATCCTTTGCTTTTGTCAAACAATTGTTTGTAAATTTAGCATTGACGTAACTGTAGGGAGTCTGGACTCTGATTAGCAAGTGGTGCTAGATGCTCTCAGCTCAAATTAAAATATCTACCACCTTTCAGGATCTCCATGAAAAAAGCCAGGCTTTTTTATTTTTATTTTCTTTCTCATTTGCTGTAGTCATAAAACATACGGTATTCATACTTCTTCCTTTAAGATAAGGAATTATTCACAAATATCTTAGTGTCCTCAGCTGATAGTTCATTCACTCGATAATGGAGTAAATCACAATGGAATTTACTGCCTAACACTAGATTTTTTTCTGTGGTAGATGTCAACATAGCACAATGCAGAGACCAACAGCTTTGTTCATTCTTAGTGTTAAAGAAAAGTAAGTTGGGCTTGCTGAAATTGTCTAGAGACATCACCTTGTGTGCTGTCTGTATTCCTTGAATTGTTTGACTACCCTTCAGTTGCTTCACTTAACGTGAGTAAAGTGGTTGCTTCTTATGTCTGTCTTACCATAATCCTTTATCACAGGTCCTAGTGCCACCAATCTTATAATAGGCTCCATCGCTGGTGCCATCCTGGTAGCAGCTATTGTCCTTGGGGGGACAGGATGGGGCTTTAAGTAAGCAATGCCGCATGTCTTCTCTTCAGTGGCTATGGCATTTCTATTTCTTGCTTACATCACTAAGTTTTGAGCTCCTGCTACAAGATTTCTAAGTTAACTCCCCCCTCTGCAACCCAACTATAACAAACTGCTTTGAAGAGAAAGAATTACGCATGCACTGAACAAGAGGAGGAAATGGATTTGAAACTAGCAGATGTCATCAGGTTGCAAAGTTGAAGAACAATAAGAGAATGAATTTAACTTTCATGAGTTCACCCTAACACTCAGGGAACAAGGTCTTTTTTTCACCTCCAGTTAGTAGTGTTGTCCTCAGAAGTTGACTACAATGGTTAAAAACTCCAAAAGAGACATGTCTTGAGGAGTGTTTATTTTGAATGCAGTAGTACTTTCAAACTGATAAACTTTTTTATAATTAAAGACTTCATGTGTAAATGGTAAGTGGTGGCAGTAGCAGAGTAGTTTTCAGTAACAAACAGATGCATTGACACAGTTGACTCAGAAGTACTAAAGCTAACTTTTGTGGTTACTGATTTTTTTTTTTTTAATTATCAATTCACATTTTCAAAAAAAAAATCAGGTTTAGAGAGAACACTTTGAAATCTTGAACTGTCTCCTGAAAGATGAAAACATTTCTCACCCAGTTCTAGTTCCATGTGTTTTATAACTATGAAGTGTAACATGCTAGTCCTTCTGCTTGTGACCGTTAAAGCAATGAGAGAGTCTTGTACAAAGGTATTTAATTCTTGCCTTTTTTTGTAGTGTCAAGTCTACTTACATGCGTGTTCCATATTTGGTAAAAAGGATCTAAATTTAGGATCAACGTTTATAACCTTACAAATCATGGAAGTGTTAAGCACAAGTAATTTCTCATAGTATTCAAGTTGCTATTTCTTTTCAATAACATGAATCAAGATTAAGGCATGATACAACAATAAGCCATAATTCCTGAATCAGGTTTTTATAACTCTTCAGAGAATATTTTATGTGGCCTATATTCATATTCCATGTCTGAGTTGAGAAGAAAAACATAATTGTTCCCTAATAGATTAAGGTGGCTATCAAAGTAGGATATAGTGATCAGGTCATATTTATCTGTTAATTCACTTTCAAAGGTCACCTGAAAATGTTTATTTACTTCTGGTTTAGAGTGTTATATTTTCCTAGTGTCTGGTGGCCTTAATTACACAGGCACACAGAAGCAAAATATTTCTAAATCTCTTTCAGCCCTGCTGAAAACAGAAGACAGACTTGGCCCTTTCTTCTGGACAAGGCAACTAGTACTTCCTCTTGCACTGCCTGCCTCTGTCGGTGCTTTCAGAAAGACCCGGCACCTGCAGCATTCATTTTTCTCTAGATGCTTGTTCTGAGGGAGGTAACACTCCCTGCGCTTCCCCTTGACACTGGCGAGAGCTGCATGTGTCAGCTGTGGGAGTCAGTGCTCCTCATTTGCTTTAGTAAGAAAAGATTAAATACAAAAGGTGCCAAAACATCTGTCTAAGAATGATCTTCATAAGCCTTTTTAATTCCTGCTGATAGACTGAACCTTGAGCTGTTGTATTTTTTTTTTCGTATGGCTTCTTCTCAGGTAAATAAATAAAATCCACTTAGTTGTGCAATTAATATCCCTAGGTCAGCCTCCAGTATTTATAAGTTACTACAGGGCAGCTCTAAACAATATCATTTTAATACAGTCCTGTGTCTTTTGCATTGTGTCTCATATGGCTGAGATTTGTATTTTCCATATTTATAAACAGTAAAATAATTTAGTATTTATGCATTTTGAATTTTTATGTTGTTTCATCAAATCTATGTTCAGAGGCAGAAATTCAAATGAGGTGTGTATTTTAGAATATGCAGTGACAGACATGGCCTCACATGTGGTGTTAACACAAGAAGGAATTGGGATTCTTTTCATTTGATGGATTGAAAGATTTTTTCTGTGTAAAGGCCTAGTCTGGGAATAATGCTTTTTTACAGACTCTCTGTAATACTTGGACATATTCTATAGTGTTAACTAATACAAGTACATTTACATTGTTTCTACCGTATCCTAATAGATGCAGATTTATTTATTAACTTAAATAAAGCATATAAACAATACATAAAAATTTCAGTTAGTTGCAGAACTGAGTTGGGTTTTTTTCCCTGCGCTTTGCTGCAATTAGCTTTTTAAATAAATACAACCAAATTTTCTGCAAGGCTTGCATTAACATTTCTGTTAAAATTTTTGGTTTATTGAGAACAACAATGTGCACACATTTAAAGCGATAATATTAGAAACACTGATACTGCAAGTTCCCATGTGAATTAAGCGAGGTAGATTTTGTTGGAAAAAATAAATGTCAAATTATACTTTTGGACCAGTTTTCTGCCATCAGAGACATATGTCTGTTACTTAGCAATTCATATACTTTCCAGACATAGAATACTCATTCCTAAATAATATGTTTGTATTGCAGAAGGTAATTTGTTGAAAACACAAGTCATTAAAATATGAAAACTACAGGCAGTTTCTTCCTCTGAATCTTTTTAAGTTGTCTTGTGCTGTAACAACCTTTGCTCTTTGCGTCAGTGCTGCAGCACCAGCTAGCATCTGTGCGAGCAGTCTGGCTGCTGACTGGGGACACCTACGCTTGAGAACTTGCATGAACACAGATTTTTAGAAGTCTGAAACAATACAGTATTTACATGATGGTTTATTTCTTCTTTGTGTTCCACATCTCTCAAGCTACTCTCACAAGTGTTCAGCTTTGCATCCTGGTGTCATTCGTTTGCCCAAATGTAGAAGCTTGTTATCCCTATAGAGGATACGTCTCTTGAAGCTCTTACTCTTTATTCTGTAGCAGAACCTCAAATACACTGGCCTGGCCTAGCTCACAGCTTGAAGTGCATGTTTCTTCTGGGGGTCAGAGGGGAACTGAAAAGGCTTTTCAGCTTGTATAGAAAAGAGGGCTAGCACATGTAGACCCTCTGATACTGTGCTTCAGCTATATCTGGAGGGACAGAGAAGGATAATAAGAGGATTTCAACGTTTCCTTTTTAAGCAAGTAAGTGATATGCTTAGACTCTGCAAATATGAGAGAAGGTAGCTAATGCTTTACAAACTGGGAGATGTGATTTCTGTTTCACAGGTTATCAGATGTTCATATGAACATACGGTACTGTGGTGTCAAGTCCATATCAAACGTAAGCTGCAACTAAGCAAACTTTGTTCATGAACTGAGGTGGTGGGGGGTGGGGGTTGGAGGGAAGTGTAAAAGAAGGCTTGATGCAAGTTTGGAGAAACAAAGTATATAAGAAAACCCAAACCTTCCCCTTTCAAGAGTGAAGCCTAGGTTATTTTTTCTAATCAAGTCAATGGGTAGATAGAACAGGAAAGAAAACAGTTAACTGACAATTTTAGGGGGTGTAGACCCTCATTACACATTTCAGGTGGTTTAGAGTTAAAGGCTGTGGGTGGAAACCTTGTTAAGCAGTATATTTTACTTCATCTGAGCCTTGCATAGTACTTTTAACACTGTTGGTGTTTAGACTGCAGTAAGGGAGTCCTGCATATTTCTACCTGAACTCTGCTGGGTACTGTACAGAAGTATGGCATTCATGAAATGTGAAGTTCATTTTGGTGTAGCAAGTTTGTGCAAGAGTTCAGTATACAGAGTTTAATATAGAACCGATATGGGAAGGACTTTTTTACCATTAGAGTAGTTCTCTGCATCGGCTGCAGTCACAGTCTCAGGGGCCTATGCTCACTTCTTTTCCTAGCATATAGTCACTTACTTTTGCAAAGCTACTGCAGTAATATAAGCCAATTAAATGCTTTTGTTGCTGACTTTAACAGTATTAAAGCAATTTTTAGTAATAAAGCAACACTGCTAAGAGGCAATGCTAGTAAAAGTGATGTGTAAATGCACAGGAAAAGCTGCTTCTCACTATATCAGAATGCAAAAGTGGCTGACGGAGAAGAGTTGATTGTAGGCACAATTCTATTTCTAGCAATTGTTTCTTAGCTGAAGAGTTGCAGGGTTTTCTGTCCCTGTTCTAATGGAAGATTAATGGATGGACCAAAGACTTACCCAGATATAACAGATGCTGAGTTTTTAACTGGTCTGTGCAGACGGGTTTAGACCCCGAAAGTTTCTGCAAGATAAAGCAGTGGAATGCTAGTGGTGCCTTTGTGAGGAAGGAGGTTTCGGTCCCTTAGCAGCATTTCCATAAACCATGTATCACGGACCTAAATACAGTCACCACTACACAAACATCAACATTAGAATCAAACTTGAGATATTTTCTCACTTTTTTCCAAACTACTAGAAGAAATGGCAGGTCAATGTCTTATTTTAGGCTGCTAATTTTAGTCCCTCATTTTGTTAATTTGAATCAGTTTTGTAGCAAAAGGTCATTTATTTAAGCTCTTCTTCAGCATTTGAGCCATGCTTTAGGAATGCCTATGAAGACATTAGCTATTTGGAAGTGGTTAAAATACTGGGTTTGGATAAATCTTTAACTGCTTAAGTAAAGCTTTGTATTTATGTGATCACAAAGGCATGGATTTGCAAGCAATGTACTGTGTAACCATGTTCCTAATTAGTTGCAAAAAAATTGCAGAGGATTGCAGCAAGGTATTTCTTACAAACATGCAGCCTTTTTTAAAACCAGGGTTTTTTTACTGAAGTATTTTTCATTTGTAAAGATGACCATGTTAGAGAGGCAGTGGTGTGCTGCTTTGATTCAGAATCACCTATAATTTTGCTTTTGTTAGAGACAATTTTTCTAGTTGGATTACAGACTGAAAGGCTGACCCTCATTGTTTAAAGAGGCACTAAATGCAAAAAAAGTAGTTAATGTTCTAAGATCTTCCACATAAAACAACAAAGATCTAGGAAATGGCCTCATTCTCCTATGTGTCTTTCCACAGAGGACCCTTCCGCCTCCTCCCTTATTGTTTTACTGACGCATACTGAAAGGAACCTTGTGCTTCTGTAATACATAGCTATTAAGAGGTACAAATATCCAGAATCTGATACTCACCTAGTTTCCTTTCTTTTTATTGTAATTTTCTTGGGGAAGAGATAGACTTGTTCTATTTGCTGATTTAAGTAAGCCTACTGTCTTCATTTTAGTATTAAAATGGTTGGTAGTTTGGGATTAAGTTGTTAAAGTCAGGGAATCAGAATAGAATTCTGGTTCTTGCAGAGTAACACCTGACTGCCTATCTCTTGTGAAGTGCTACGATCGCAGCAGAGAGATGTGGCAGGCTCATGTTAATGCTTTGCGCATGTGTACCGTGTTCCCTTATTGGCACTGTACCTGATGTTCCATATTTCAGACTCTTATGTTAAATGTTTAGTTCTTCACACATTTCTCTCTCACATGACACTCTTAGCAGAATATCCTAAGTGAAGAAAGGCAGTGGTTTGGTTAGTATCTCATTCCTTGAAGTGTGTATTTCTGCTGGATAAAACTAGCGCTGGTTTGGACAGATCACAGAATGCAGAGGGCATAGCAGACTTCGCCCCATGGCACGGGCACAAGCTGAGCTGTCGTACAACCAAATGGTCCTTACTGGAATACTACACTGGTGGAGATCAGGTTAGAAAAGACTCGATAGGGCAAAAGTCAAAGAGTTTTTTTACAAGAGTTGTACTGGGAAGCTGGTATAGCATCTGTCTTCTGTACTTTGTTCCAAGACTTACAAAGTCCATTTCTTTAATTAAAATAAGCTCAGATAACAGAATGTAATTCAGGGTATGTTCTAGTGACTCATCCTCTTCAAGCAAATTGGAATATGGTACTTTCCCTAGAGTAGGAGGACAAGTTACATCATCTGGATTTTTTACATGCATTGATGATTTGTTTTAAGGGGACTGACTAATTAGTTACTCATTGGTAGTGTTTGAATTCAAGTATGCTAGACAGTTATTTAAAGTGGGGGAGCTGAGGGGGAAGAGAAGCAGACATGTCCTTTCCCAATGGAACTGGCAGGACAAGCAGATGCAAAGCAGGTTTTAACTCACATTTAACCAAGTTTATATTATATTCATACTTCCTATCATGCAGTTCTGCAAGTTGGCCTGAAAAAATAATTTGCTTGTCTCAAATTTACCTGTAGCATAGAGGAGGATGGGTTGAGATATTGAAGTAATGTCAGCCTAATTCAAAACACGCATTAGTACAGTACTTCTTGAGGGGAAATGAAAGATGAATACAGCGATCGTTCAGAAACGGAGAATCCTTAAGCATTGACCTTGCAAAAACGCAAGCACTGGTACCCGAGATAAAAACAAAACAAAGGATGCCTAAGAATTACCAGTCTCTGGAGGTTTTCTCAAAAAGAAGTTGCCTTTGCATACATCCATTAGTCTCTTCAACCACCAGGCAAACCTTGTGTATAGTATATTTATAAATATTGTAGCAGTGGTAGTAGTTAGCAGGGCTGCAGAAAATAGAAAATCCTGGGGTTGGTATGTAGCTTTAGGGAATTTACTAATTCCTGTTCTGTATTTTTTGCATGTCGGTTTGGTGGCGGTAGTGGTGCATATGCCCAATGTTAAAACTAAATGCATGAGCCCCTTGCTTGATGCCCCACATAAAGCCAGATACTGGGGAGGTTGCACCCAACTTTTGTTGTCGCTTCCTAATGTCTTGCTGTTTGACATAGGATATCAGTATCGCAGGAGACTGGATATCACTGACCAGCTTGCTATCCACTGTTAAATTCTAATCACACAATTTACAAAACTGTCCAGTCTCCTTCGAATGCAATGTCTTTGCTATATTTTGCACTTTACTAAGAGTCACAGCAGTTACGGTCAATAGTGTGGTAAGAGCTCACAGAGGCACTCGCTTTTTCGTCACAGCGGAATACTGAACTAAACTCTGGTATAGCCAGAGGTGGCACTTGCTCCGAGAACTCAGGTCTCCATGTGCTTTTATGTATTTCCAGTACTGGCACTTCTGACTCATTCCCTTTAGGTATATGCATGCTTTCTTGGCCTAGTGGACACACATGTTACTGTGGGCTGAAAGTTTCTACAAATTTCGAGCACCACTGTAAGTACTACAGAACTAATTGAATGCTGTGTGCCAGCATGATCTTTAAACTGCGTAAGGAAACCAATACTTGATACTATGCTACAGAAAGCATGCAAACAAATTCCTTAAATTGTTACCCCTCAGAAAAGTTACTTGTTAAAACTGTCTCAGTGTGAGCCTTTTACTTTACTATGACCTTGGCAACGACTTTGTTCCTGTTATATCTAACTAATGTCTTGCATTTTTCACTTTTCGCCTCCTTTTGATGAAACCTGGAAGAAACGTCAAAAAACGAAGGTTCGATCCAAGTCAACAAGGCCCTATCTGAAGAAATATGATTCAAAAACCTTCTCCTTGCGCTGCTGGATTTTGGGTATGATGTCTTTGCTGTAGCTGCACAGGAACTGAATCAGTAAGGAAGAACATGAGAAACAGTAACTATAGACACAATGTTGGGATGTTAGGAGAAGACTGTCCTTTTTGGAGATAAGTTCAAAATACTTCCTCTATTCACCTTTCTCTTGTTAACATTAACTGACAAGTGTTACAAGCACACTGTTTCAAAATCAGGTGGGTTTTTTTCTTTTCTCGAACAAAGGAGGAGACACACAGACCAAGTGCAATAAGAGAACTTTTCCAAAATAATGAAATAGAAGATTTGTTTCCCAGCCTGCTGGCACTCTTAACTTCACTTGAGTTCGCATGACTTCCTTTTTCTTATCAAACTCCAGTGGCATGAGGAGCTAATTTTGAAAGGGTAACCTGCATGGCTCACATACAAACAACCAAGCTAGCAAGCTGATCCCAAGCCAAATCTGCAGCCCAATACATGCAAACCACTGGGAAGCCAATACCAGGCTCTGATAGCTTTCCCAGCCACGCAGTGCATTCTGCCGCTGGACTTCAGAGTTCCCTGCTCTGTGAGCTCGCCTTGTTTTGGTCTCCTGGGCCAGGAGTCTTGGGTATGGAAGCTATCGAGTGATGGATGTAATTCTTCCAAGAAGTAAAAAGTGTAAATATGGAAATAAGATTTTGATGTATCATTTTCACAGATTATATATAAATATATATATATGAGAGAAAAGGATTTCCATATAAAAAGGTTCTATTCTTTATGTAAATCTATTTTTGATGTTGGGTTTGGTTTTGGGTTTTTTTGCTCCCCTTTGTTTCCTGTAGCATGTTGTACAGCAGATGTTCTGGGCTTGCTCAAAAAAGGCAGATAATAGCATGCAGATGCAGGGAGTTCTGACATCAAACAGATGTGATCTAAAGTTTGTATGCTTGAAACCAAAAACAATTAAAATGTATAAATGCATATCTATGTATTGACTATAAGTCTGGATTACTCTTTTTTTGGCTGTTATTACAGAAAAATCTGTATATAACATAAGTGACACCCTCTCAAACTAATCGCAGAAGTGCCAAGCTTTTTTTTTTTTTTGAAACTATAGCTGATTTTTTTTTCCCATCTAGATCCTATGAAATAATAAGCCTTAAAATACTCACAAAATGTTAAAAGCTTGGAACAAGTTATTCTTCTCTTGCCTTCTGTGGCTTGCAAAGGTAACTTACATTTCTAACTCACTCCCTGTATCTCCTTGATGCATCTCACTTTTCAATGTATAATGCACAATTAATATTTGACCCTTGGCTACTGATAGCTAGTTACCATCACAAAGTGTGCAAAATCCTATGTAATTTTAGAGGGTTTTGTGTTGTGTTTGCTTTTAGATATGTCTTGTGTACAAACATGGGGTTTTGCAGAGAAGTGCTGGGCAGCAGTACTGTTCCCTTAGTAACCAGGCTAGCCTGGGTGCATCTGGCTTGAGAAAGGTATGGAGATGTCTAGTTTAGGCCTTCCTTCAAGTATAGAGCTGTACAGTCTGGCTCATCCTTTTCATCTTGATTTAAAACTTTGGTAATTCAGTTTATGTAAGTAAGTGAAGTGACCTGAAAATTTCATTGCTGCATCTGATACTCAGAATTAAAAAATTCTGTAATTTTAGATTTAATTTAAAGGTTGGGTATTAGTAACAACGGAAGTCCAGTTACACTACTTGCTCCACCTGTGTTCAGTGGAAATCCGCTTCCTGAGTTAGCTTTAAGAGCCAAAACATTAAGAAAATGCTGCAGATTTCCTGTGACTTACAAAATCTCACTTCGTTATATTTCGTATTATGATAATGTTCAGTCCAACAGTCTCACAAGAGAACTACAATATATTGTTTTGGTTGACAGTTATTAAAAGGTTTTGAACAGCTTTAACATAATCACATTAACACTTACTACGTTATGAGTTAAAGGTGCTGCACACAGGTAGTCAACATTGATATATATTATAAATCTTATTCTGAAAAATTCCTGCCTGGCTTCAAGCAGAATGAAGTTAGTGACAATACTTTTATGGCAAACCAAAAATACTTGCAACTGTATTATTAACCTCTAAAAGTACTTTGATTGGGAACATAATCCCCAACTTTGTTTATTAGGGTTCTGCTCCCAAAGCAAGTGTAACCCACAATAGAAACACTAGTGGTTACCAAAAATTAAAGTAAAATCAACTGGATATATGTAACCTACCTGTGTAATAAACCAACGTTTGAGAAGCATTTCACAAACAACATTGTTAGTGTGTGATGTGATGTTCTAAATCAGACCACAGTGGTCCTCAACTACTATGTACATATGTTCAGTGCTGGAGTAACTTTTTTATTTACACCAGCAGTTTCATTGGCTGAATTTGTGCTCCACTCATCAGCCTTTGTGTGTATGTGGAAGAACACATTCGCTTTCTGCCCTGTGTGTACACAGTCCAAGTGACAACACAGCTCAGAGTAGGTACAGGCTGAAATGCTTTCTGTGGTGGTAGACAACTAAAAAACTGGTTTTGGTAGGTGTTGATTTTCTACATCCTGCCTTTGCTCTGCTTTGGGAAGTACATACCCGTTTAGTCTCAATTTGTTCATCACAAAGCATCATCAAAAGAAGACCTGGTCAGCACTGCCTCCGTTTCATCCACTATACATTTGCTCCATTATTTATCTATTCATCTAGACAAGAAACTGTGGTAACTGTATAGCTCGTTCCAGTTTGCTGCATGACATCACTGATTTGATCTGATCCTCCTAAAAGAGAAGTCTGCTAGGCAAATTAACAGCTATATAGGTGCATGTTAACAGAAACAGATTAATTAAGGCTGGAGTTTAACCAATTTTTCTTTACTATGCAAAGATGGGTATTGCACAAACAAATTTAAGACAAATGTCTGAGGAAATGCCATAGAATACTTGAAGTTATGTTTTAAGCTGAATGAGTCATGTTTTATATTCATTATTGCTTCCACTGTTACTCTTCCTTTCAAAAATGATTTGTAATTATTTTTTTAAGTGCACAACTTGATGTTATAAATCAGTTTTTGTTTGAAGTTAATACTCAGTCATGTCTTGTTGGCTGCTAATGAATGGAATTCAATAGTCCTTGTTCTGCATCTTAGCAAGATGATGATTAAAAATATCATGAATGTGGAATGGAGTAGTTTTTAATGTTCAGTCATTTTTTCTTTATTTATTGTCTCCATTTTATTTAATTTCTGCATTCAAGATATCACTACCTTTATAGTAGTGGAAACTGACTGGAGTTTTCTTTTACTGAAGATCTCTAAAACTGTGTTCTGTCTGTGAGAGGACGCTGCACGCGGGCTTTCCGATGTGCGCAGGACCAGCACCTCAGCATGCTGGGCTGAGCAGGCATACAGGAGGAGGGTTGCTGGACCTGCTGCAGTCCCATCTGCTGCCTTCACTGAATTGAATGAGACCTGTATGCATTGGTTAGTTGAGGGAAGCCTTTTGCAGTTCAAAAGTCTGAATTACATAATTACAAAAGGTCTCAAATGCTGTAATTATTTAAAAAATATTTTGAAGCCCTCATAATAACCAAATAATATGGTCATCATTTTAATGGATTACTGAATGAAACTCAGTTTCCCTTTTTGGTTTTTTTTTGCTTTTTCCAGCTCCAGACAGGGAAACAAAATACACTGTTGTCTTAGTATCTCCCAAGGTTATGTATGAAAGCTTGTTTCTCATCTAGAACTATAGAGTGAGGGAACACTGTCATTAGTGGATCCACTATCATCCACTTTATTTCCTGTCATTTGGATATAGGAGGATTTTTCTGTAAACTCAGTATGAACATGCAACATTTTGGCTGTAATTATAGTAGTTATTCCTAAAATAGGAGCTAAGCCCTTTGCAGTATATGAATACAAAAGCAGTATATAGATAGATGCGTATCTGCTTTTGATTTTACAAGAAAAATTCTTAAAGTTATTTTTGAAAACTTTCACAATTACAGCACAAAATATGAATAGTGCTCTTGTTGGGGCACTTACTTACTATTAAGAACAAAACCAACACAACAGCAAGTCATGTTGTACAAACCCGAAAAATGCACTTACTACAGTTCCCTACCCACGAGAACTGAAAAACTAATTTAACATGAATCATCCATTGGAAATACAATAGGGACTGTTTAAGTGCCCTCAGAAAGCTTGAAGAAAAAAAATTAAATAAGTAACTGGGAATTTTAGTAGTAGTGATGCTCAAACCAGTACTATTGAAAGCAAAAGGTCACAGAAACATTATCTTAAAGCTGCACATACCATAATTCAGTTCAGAGATTTATTGTTCAGAACACAGCAAGCACAGCAGCACATCTTCACATTTTTCTAGGTTTGTTGAAGAAGTTACTTAGCAGAAGTGTGTAATGCAAGAGGACATACGGCCCTCTAGGTAAGTACAAGGACTCCACGTCAGACCAGCACAGACATCCACTTAACATGTATTATTTCTGGGCAACCACCGACTGCTGAAGGTAGCATAATTCAGAATGCTTTAATTTGTAGAAGCCCGGTAACTGAGTGTCAGTCTATTTGTTCTTGTGAAAATTTTCTTCTAAAAGAGCTTGGTTTTGTCATAAATCATGGGACCTTCCTCATCTTTACCACTAGTGGTGTAACAGACCATGCTTTAGTGTGGCACTTTCTGAGCCAGTACAAGAATTTCCCCACCAAAGCTGGTAACTCAAAGCATGAAAGAGCTAACAATGTTTTTTTTACCTGCTCTTGCATGCAGGACAGAGCCATGCCCACCATCCATCGTACAACCTGGGGGGAAGCTGCTGCTTTCAGCATTGACCTAACCCATGCCTCAGTCTCCCAGTAGTCGTCCCCCCGCCAAAGGCTGAGTTTAGTCTGAAGCACTGGCCCAGGAATTGGTCTTCTTTAGGATAGACGCTGTTACCTGACACTTAACTGTGGAGAGGCAGAAACCAGAACAGATCTACTGATCCAAGTCCAGTTCTCAGACTTCCTAAGCACAACACTGCACCACTTGAAAAAAATTCTCTAACTGTTCATACATCACACATTGACAGATTTCCTCAGCCATCAGACCAAATATTATAAGCTTTGAATTTGCTTTTGGGACTGTGAAGCAATAGGTTTTCATCTGCACTACCTATGGCTTGAAGTCCTGCAGCTACAAAGAGCAGTGCAGGTTATTAAAGCTGTGCTTTTAACTCATGACCAAGGCATGAGCATATGACATGCCCATTACATTACAGACTGGTAACATGCTGTGGTTCCATAACGATCAGTTTTGCCTCTTCTGCAGAAAGGAATTGCCCCCACACAGAAACATGCACTGCTTCTCTGCAGCCTAACGCACAGTGTCCAGCTAAATAATGACACAAGCAAATAGTACTTTTGACTGGTTTCCCATCTCCAGCTAAGATGATGACCAGCTTCTTCTCAAGAATGAAAAGCATCTAGATACCTCAAACCTAGTGCTATTTGCATAAGCTTTAATTTAAGAGAAATTAAAAAACGGTAACTTCATGGCAGCTGTGCTAAACTTGCTTCCATATCAACTGCAAGAAGCACTGGGTTAACAACTGACAGATCCAAGTTTCCCCATTTGACTCCTTCGAAAGTATTTTGTGCATACTCGTGGTTATAGGGAAACAAGAATAAATATCCTTATGCGTGTTGCCCTCACACATTAGATCCAAGATAGAAATTTGACAATTTGCCTTGGAACAGAATAAGCACTGACCTTATTAATTCAGGACAGTTTTCCATAGATTAGGTCTTTGGACTGTAAAGGTTGAGGTTTAAAATATCTACTATGTATCTCCTCTTCAGAGGGGAACTCTTTGATACGCCTGTTACTTAGGATGCTATGGATTCACAGAACAGTGAAACACTCCTGATCAGCACAGGAAAGCCTTACTGTTCCCAGAAAAGGGCATTTAGTA